ATTACTTAATTTCTTGGTAATCAATTCCATTGGTCAAGCCATCATCGTCAAGGGTTAAACGGAAAAAAATTTCGTAGAAACTTAACCTTAATACTATTTTGGTATGCCAATAAACCTCGCCTGATGAATGACCTCGCCTGATGAATGTTCCGCAAAGACAAAATGGTAAGAATTTTAACCTAAAGTAAATAGATGCTTTGAATAATTTTCCATGAATTGAAACGACATAAAATGAGGCAAGTTGATAAATACATTTTTGATTGCTTTAATTTGTAAAAAACAATTGATTGGTTAAGCATCTTATCAATAAATATTACAAATTATTCACAATGAAACGTATAAATTACTTTGAATAACAATCAATGGTGAATGTTTTGATTTGGAAATAAAAATCTAATAAAAAGTGCGAACATCAATTTAAGTATTTCAACTACCCATATAGTGAAAATATATATGCAAAGAATTTAAAGAATTTTATTTTATTTTTTTTTGAAATTAGTCACTACTAACATACCTTGAAATGTCAAGAATACCTTTTTTGCAACAAATGTTTGTTGTGAGATAAGGTTAAACTTGTGATTTTTTTTCGCGACTTCTAAAATTGTTCGTTCTTTATAGCAATTCTTTGACCGACTTTATAAAGCAAGCTATTCCGTTATGTTACCAAAATCAAGATTTGTATCATAAAAAATTTTTGACCCCCGTGATTTGAAGTTATGAATTTGAAATTAATGTCGCTAGCAGATTCTCAAGAGTTAAATACCACCAAATTGACGGTTCCTTGCCAAGGTATTATTTTAATTAAAATCTTTAAAATTCGACCCAAGATGTCGGATTTATAAATAAAGTACCAACCTAATTTTATTTGCAGTGACAATAATTATAATTTTACACAATTTCAAGTAATTTTACACTTGTTTATGTGAAAAAATAACAAAGGAAATATAATATATATAAGTTATGATCTAAAAACAAATATCTAATATAATAATGCTCTAATACATTACATGATAAAAAAAAAAAAAATATAAATATAAATAAAAATTTACAAAATTTATCTAAGATCTGGGAATTCTTCCACGTAAATATTCCATTACAGCTTCGGTACCTTTTTGAACAATTGTATATCTAGGTACTCTGAAAGAATTTCCTCCAACTAATAAAGTTTTAATGGTTTGAATATTACCTAATTCCGGAGGTAAATGTCCAATATTATTATTTGATACATCCACAACTTCCATTCCTTCAAAGGTTGAAGTAACGATTGAAGTTAAATTATTCGAAGTAGCAAGAAATGTTGTAAGTTTAGGGAAAGGCAATTTGGTTGGCAATTCAGTGATACGATTTTGATTTACATTAAAAACTTGTAAATTTGGAAATGCCGTATGATCGGATTCACCAGGTAAACGAGTAATTTGATTCGCTGATAAATCCAACGTGTCAACGTTTGGAAATACTATAGAAGGATCGTCAAATGTTGGGAAGGAAGTGAATTTATTATGATCCAATTTAAATGTTGTAATGGTATTTTGAAAAATTTGAAATCCGATTGGAATTGCTTGAAATGTGTTAAATCCTAATATAACCATTGTTGGTTCGAACGTAAGTTCTTCCAAATCCACCTGATCTATGTCTGATAAATTTTTCTTTGAGAGGTCTAAAGATTTTGATGCTACTCCTTGTTGAGTAATTGTCCCTAAAGCTCCTGAAGTCTTTAACCCTGCACTGCTAGAAGATCTTCGACCTCCTACGCGTCCAGGATGTTGACCTGACATTGTTCTTTCAGGGATTGTAGGTCCTTCAATACTATCAAGATCTAAATAAAATAATGATCAAGTTAATGACAATGATGATGAGAATGATAACTTTTTTTTTATATCATGATAACCGGAATAGCTTACCAACGGTAATAAGTCTATCTTTTAACGTTTTTAATAAATTTGCTGTGGATTTGGGTCCTTTTGGAGCATTTCTCAAAGGATTTCCTTCCCATACCAAGACATCCAAAGTACTTAATAAGCCCAGTTCGGCAGGTAAATGTTTTAGTTCATTATTACTTATATCCAGTCTTTTGAGATATTTCAGTGCAATTAATCCTTCAGGAATTTCTGACAATTTATTATCTCCAATATCCAAAATTTCAAGATTTGATGTCGTATGTAATAGAGGACCCAAGGATTTAATTTGATTTAGTGAAATAAGTAATTCTTTAAGTTTTGGTAATTTAACTGATGGATGAAAAATGGTTGCATCATGTGATTCATCTAAAGCTTTTAATTTGTTTTGACGAACGTCCAATCTGTTGAAGTGAAAATGAATTAAAGTTTTTCTCCGAAAAAAAAAAAAAAAAAAATTTCATAACAACGATGAAAAATTTCCATGATATTACTACCTTTTTAAAGATTGTAGATTAATCTCTTGCCCATTTAAATCTTTGAAAACTATCTCTAGTTGATTCTCGCTAGCTTCTAATTCCTCCAAGTATGTCATTCTTGTTAATGCTACACCAGGAAGTTCTCTTAATTTATTTTTTGCAAGAAAAAGTTTTCTCAAGTTTTTTAAATTTGAAATCTCTTGTGGTAATCCAGTAATTTCGTTTTGTGAAATATCAAGAATTTCCAATTTAGATAAATTACCAAAGGTTGGGTCTAATACACCTGAAAGATTATTTGATGCCAACTGTAATTCTACCAAAGATTTAAGAGAAGTCAAACAGGTTGGAAGTTCATTAAATTTATTAGTTGATAAATTAAGTATCGCTAGATTTTTTAATTCGCCAAATTCATCAGGAAGAGATGTTAAATGATTATTATGAAGCTAGATAAGAATTGAATGTAATAATTAAAAAAAACTAGTATGAATAATAATTAATTTATCAATGTGACTTACATCGATGAAAGCCAATGCATCAAATTCAATTATTCTCTTATCGATTTCTTTGATAAAATTGTCGGCGGCGACTAAACGAATAAGGTTTACTTGTTCATACCAAACATCGGAGGCACTTCCACCAAAGTCGATGCTAATACTCTTTGAATCAACTTCATGCATTCTCCACACTTCCTCTGGAATTTCCGTTAATGACCGATGGGATATATTGAGACGTCCTAAACATAACACAACGAGTTTTAATTAAAAATTTTATTAAAAAATAAAAATTATTAATAGTAATAATAATAGAAAAATCGGATACATACCAGAAGATTTGGCTTGCTTAACGATGACATTCAAACTTTTTGGTCCAACTTCACTCTGCTCTTCTAGCTGAACATCTTTATTATTAGTTTTCTTCGATCTTGCTTGAGCGATAGCGTCTCTAACTGATGATGCTGCTTGTCGCACGGGTCTCGTAGCAGTGGGTGAAGGTGATGGTGATCTTGAAGTTCTTGATGGTTTTTTTGGTGATAATGATGTCGATCCTTTAGGTTTGGATGTGGCAGTAGAACTTACATTCTTTGATGTCCCACGAGAAGAAGCCGTTCCAGTCGAGGTTTTCCGCATTGGTATTGAATATATATATGTTTATTTAATCTACTCGAATTAAAAAATCAAAATGATTTATAAATGTTATAATAATATTGAATGAAATCTTGAAAAGAGTAACCTACCACTGGGAATTAATCGGATTGATTATTATATTTACTATTTTCCGTGATATTACAGGTGAAAAAGTTTGGATATAATTTTTTTTATAGATCGGATGAATCAATGATATATGAGCCTTTAGATACTAAATAGAGTTTAGATCAAAATATTTTTAACTTTATATTGGAAAGGAATGAAACTTATTTTCTTCAAAAGCCGTTCATGATTTTAAATAATATAAAAAAAAATTTATTTTTTTTTTTTTTTTTTTTGAAGCTTAATGCAATTATGCTTAATTTCATTAATTGTGCGTGCATGCATGCCAAAACCAATCATTGCTTTAAATGTGTGTATCACATGACCAATCAAAGAGTGCGAAAAGATAGTTGTGATACATCACATTTGAATTTAATCGAAACCTCACATAATTAACAAGGTACTAGAAAAAAATTGCAAAGTAGGAGACAGCAAGTTCATGCATAATGCGATAGAAGATTGAAAAAGTTTTGTAATTTTAATCGCTCGTATGATTACCATATGGGTTTTAAAAATAAAATGGAACAATGTTGTAAACGCGTATTGAAATTTATTGGAATGCACTTACGAACACCTACACGAATAAATCATTTTTTACAAATATTATATGCAAATTAATTGTTTATATGCAAGTAAGCTTATGAACTAATGTCGGTCTTATTTAAAATCGCCGAAATAGTTAGTGTCAAACATGAAATTGATAATTCTAATTGGACAATAGAAATTCCCTCATATAAAAAAATTAAAGATGATTAAACGAAAATGTTTAAACAAAGATGAAAAAAAAAAAAAAAAAGAATTCAAAGATAACTCACTCCTTTAACTTTCATGTAACAATCAATTTGATTAAGGGCATCCAATTTACAAACCTCATAGTTTCATTTTTAAACCTCAATTTGTATTTCTTAATGCAAATCTATTCTTCACATTCTTCGTTAATAATCAAAGTGTTTTCAACGGATTTTGTTCCTATTTAGAATTTACTTTTAAGGGTAAATTTTTGAACATTAAATTTTCAAAATTATCGAGAAAACTACAAAACTTGTAGATAATCTCAAGTTCTGTATAAGGGGGTAGGTAAAACAAAAGGTGATCCCAAAGCTCTTTTGGCGTATAGTTTTTTATAATTACTTTGTGTCACAATAAATTTCTTGTTGTTGAGTGGCTGATTTCTATTAAATTCGATCGTCTACGCCAAAATGATGTTGTATTACTTATTTAACTTACTTGATATTTATTGCCCTGTTCATTTTTTCTTTTCCCTTCCTTTTTTTTTTTTTTTTTTTTTTGAAATCGTTAAGAAAAATTATTATTTCTAAAAAGATATAACAATAACAACAACAACAACAAATAATTTAAAGTGACATCTCCATGTCAAAATGACGTCACAATCTCAATGCCTTGATAATGATGTTAAATCTTCACGGGACAAACATGTCCATTATCCCATCGAATCAATAAATGAAATCAAACAATTTGAAATGCCGACTTTTGTAGAACGAACGCATCGTAAATCAAATGATTCGGAACGAACATTGTTCGTTTCTCACTTTGACCTTCAAGACGCTTTTGAAAGTAGCATTTACGACAAACCTGAAGCACATACTTGTGATTGTGTCACGAGACTCGCATTAAGTAATAACGATAAAGATCAAATGTCCCAGGATCAAATTATTCGAAATGTGCCGCAGCAAGAATCGTCACAGAATGACCAACGTTCTGATAATGAAATCGTTTTACTGTTCATTATAGTTTCGATCGTTTCTTACGCCATAGGATATTTCGGTTTCGCTTTCTTTTGGATTACGTTGATATTATATCAGTCCACAATATGGTTTCTTAATACGGTTAAGGATAATAAAGAGCGAGTGCGTTGGGAGGTCACAAAAGAAATGGCGATGGATAAGGTAAATTTGCATAATCAAAAAACATAATTTTTATATTTTAAAAAAAAAAATAAATTAAAAATAAATTAAATTTAAATAAAATAAAATTGAAGATGAGACGAGATAATGGGGAAACTGTCGAATGGTAGTTATAAAATATTATAAATTAACTTAATTCGAATGCTTCAGATTTATGAATTACAAATACAAATTCGATTATTATTTAGGCTGAATTATTTGCTTCAACAAATATGGAGAACATTTGATCCATCCCTTTTGATAGGACTTCGAGACACGTTTGAAGACGCGATGTCTCGTAGCGCACCTTCTTTTGTCGTATGTATTAATATTTATTATTATTGTTATTGAAAAAATTTTGATGAATTTAAACCTTCTTTGCGACGCAGCGCGCAACGGATATTGAAGTTGAAATCGGTCTTATCGCCCCTCGCATTGAAAAGTGGGTTTATTATTATTATTATTATTATTATTATTATTACTATTATTATATTACTATTTATTGCATAAATTAAATTCTTTCCTTTGAAATATTAAAAAAGTATTAAAATTCTGCCACGACGCGAGAATCAGGATGACGACGACGTAATAGTAAGTTAAAGTCAAACGAAGTTGAGAATATTTTATTCTGAGGGTCGACAAATTAATCATAATTTTTACATTTTAGGTTGGGGAGGCCACATTTTCTTTTCGTGCACGTTCTTCTACCATGAACCGTAACGATGCCCCACCACATATTTTAGCATGGATCAAAACTGGAATTTCAGCAATAATCCCTATAAAGGTCGAATTGATAGGTTTTAAAGCTTCAATTCATTTTGAGATCAAAATTACTGGTACTTCACCATTCATTTCAACTGGGAGATTTAGTTTTCTCAAATTTCCATTATATGAGACGAGCATTATGCCTTTGATACCTATGAACATCGCACAGGTATTTTAAATTAGAAATGAAATAAATGAAGTCGATTTTAAAGACTTTATAATTAATGTTTTTTTTTTAAAAAAAAAAAAAAAAAAAAAGTTTCCCATTATAAAACAATTCATTCGCAATGCAATGCAATCCGTCATGGAACAATTCACGTCTCCAAACTTCTTCGATTTGGACTTGGAACAATTGCTTACTGGAGACGATCTTTTACATGGTAACGTATTAAAAAAAAAAAAAAAAATTGAAAAATAATTTCTATTTCCATATTCCTTTTATTTTTTATAATTCTTTGATGATTTTATAGATTCACAAGCTATTGGAATAATGAAGGTCGATATATTTGAGGCAAGAAATCTAACAAAAGTTGATGTGTCTGGTAAGAATCTACACAGAAAAAATATATATATAATATATAAAAAGTACCTTTTTAAAAAACTTTTATTTATTTATTTTTTTTTCACAACTATTTCTATTTTATTTTATTTTTTAAAAAAAAATAATTATTCAAGGCGATAATGATCCATATGTAATATCATCTTTGGACCCTTCGCCTTACATGCACACGCATTCTAATACACGAGTAGTTGAGAACTGCGCAAATCCAGTGTGGAGCGAAACATCCTTCCATAAAATACCAGAACTCGATATTGTAGATGAACATATCAAATTCAAGCTTTGCGTTATGGACTGGGATAGATTCACAACTGATGATCATATTGGGTCAATATGGATTGATATTAAAGACGCAATTGGCAATGGAAAAGATGAGACATTAATTCATGAAGGGTATGTTTTAAAAAAAAAATTGTATCAATTTTTGATGAAATAAATATTTATATATATATATTATAGATGGGAAAAACTTAAACTTCAACCAAAAGATACAGCTTCACAAGGTGAACTTTGTTTCCGTCTCGAATATTTTCCAAAATTATCGAATCAAATTGAAGCGCAACCTGATCAAACATGTAAGGATATATTTTATTTTTAATTTTTACCTTAATCCCTAAGGAACGAAAATCTTATTTTTTTTTTTATCTTTTGAAGCCGGAATCTTTTGCTTGAAAATCCATCAGGCTATGAATTTGCAGATAACAACTGCGCCATATTTTGAAGAATCGGGAATAACAATGTCAGATAATTATTATAACACGTCCTATCCTAACCCATATGCTGTTGTTTATCTTAATGACAGTCGAGGTATGATTAATTCATTTAATCTTTTTCTTTTTAATTCTTTTTTTCCAATTTTCGTTTTTAATGAAAATCATTATTATGATAATAGTATTTCGTACGAGAGCAAAATTAAACAAGTAAGTTGAAATTCACATATATTCGATATTATATTATTGTTTTACTTAATTTTTTTTATCTTTCAAACTCAGTGTTGCTCCATTCTGGAATGCGTCAACGGAACAATTCGTAAAAGATTGGAAAACTGCAATAGTAAGAGTAGTAATTAAGGACCAAAAAGATCTCGAGTATGATCCAGTCATTGGAATGGTCACATTACCTTTGAAAGAATTATTTGAGCAAAAAGAAAAGGTAAACGTTAATATGTCAATTAATTAGTTCCTTTTCCTAACGTAAAATATTTTTATTTATTTATTTATTTATTTTTTTTTAAAAAAAAAAAAAAATAGAAAGAAGCAACCAAATGGTATGCATTGCGTCATGGCGTTGGTTGTGGAAAAGTACGTCTAAGTTTCCTCTTCAAAACAATAAGTATGAGATTACCCCCTGAAGATAAAGGATATGATGTTGGAACATTGCTTATTAATTCTATTACCGCCGAAGGGTTAGATGAGTATTATGCAAGTAAGTTGACGTGATCAGTAATAATACTTTATTGACGTATACTAACTTTATTTATAATTTATTTTTTTCTAGATCGAAGTATTTACTTGACGTTAACCTTAACCAATACAGAAATCGAACAAGATACTGAGGTGACCAACGAATTTCCACCCACATGGCTCGAACCACGATCAATAAATGACACGAAAAATCGTATGGAATTCGCAGTATTTCGTCGATACAGAACTTCACTTAAAATTACACTTAGATATAAAGGAATATTTGGAATTTATCATACCGTGGGCACAGTGGAATATTGGTTAAGAAACATTAAAGATTGTCGTGAGACAGAAGTAGAAATACCTATGTTTGAGAGTTTACCCAAATATTTTCCTACTTTAGATGTAACTGGATCCGATCAAAGTTTTGATAATGAGCTTTCCATACCTATATGTGAATCACCTACTTCATTTAATATTAAGAAGGCTAATTTGGAAAAAGAGTTATCAAACTTGTCAGAGAGAGCAACTGAGAAATTACCATCAATTGTGAATTCAACAAACGCGATTCCGCCTGAAGAATTTGGTGAATCATCATCACAAAAGACTCATAACGAAATACAAAAGTATAATAATGACTTGGATTTTACTAAATCAAATGTTGGCAAGTTGTCTCAACTTAACGGAAGCAATGACGATATGTCTCTGAATAATAGTGCAGCCGATTCTGATGTCTCAACGTCGCAACATAGCAAAAATAAGCAATCCGTAAAATCATTTGGTAATACTCCAGCGGCTAACATCCCAGAGGAGGCATTGTTATCAGAAGTTTCTCCTAAAAGTCCACAAGAATCATCTACCACAACAACAGAAAATCTTGCAAATAATTTAGATTCTTATAAAATTAAAGGATATTTAAAGTTTAAAGTATATTTCAGACCAGGATTATCATTAGCGCATGAAAATGATGTTGAACGTAGTTTAACAGGAGCCAATGCAAGTATCTTGTACCAAAATCCTTTCTGCACGATGGAGGATATTGAAGAGCAACAAAAAAGAGAACGTGAACAAAGAAGGCAAGCTACAAATATGTATAAAGAAAGATCCATACCAAGTGGTGAAACTTATGAATCTGAAACGGGAATGGAAAGAAGAATTAATAGAGTACATAGACGTAGAACCATGAGACAATTACAGTGGGTTAAAGATTTGGTAAAAGCCAAGGTTGTTTCCATAAGCGGAAGACGTGAATGGGAAGATCAAGAAATTATTGAACATGAAGTATAAAATAAATTTTCATGGTATATTTATCGAATTAGAAATTTCTTTGTATCTATCTTATAGATGTGTATATTTGTATTTATTTTTCACACAAAACAAAAAAAAAGAAAAAAAACACTTGTAAAATAGTAATTGAATATATTAACCTTACAAAATCATTAAAAATTTCATCCGCATATCTAAATATTTTGACAAAAATTCAAATCAATGAACTCGGAAATGAAAAAACTACCTAAAATTTATACAATAGGAAAACACTTGGAATCCCGGGTGAAAAATTTTAACTGTTATACTGCAATTGGCCATCGACGAATAAACTCATTTCGGGAATTTTTTTCATTAATGGAACAACCAGAAATAGCAGGAATAAGGAAAATCATCGACCTTTATATCTAAATAAAGTTAATTAATATTATATCTAGATCGATGATGGCATTAAACATTTCTTTCGAATCATTTTATTGTTCCGGATGAAATAAAAGCCTCGTTTGGATTCTCATTTACTTTATTCGTTGGAAAAACTTTTTGCTGCAGAGTACCACGATCTCGATTGGCAACCCTTAATCTAATCTGTAAATGCTGATCTTGAACTATTTTGGCTCCTTTTCATTTTGATTTTAAATACGTTCATTTATTTTATTTCATATTAAATTAATTTCAATTTTAATTAAACAAATTTCGCGGTCCAAAGTCGATCTTTTTTTTTACCGTTGAACAATGGTAAGAGAAATGTTTTTAAAGCTCGTGACAAATTTAAAACTACACTGCGTTTAGAAATGAGTTGAGGAAGTTTAATCTAGAACGAAACGGTTTTGTTCATGTAAACAGTTATATATATTAAGAAATATTTGTTGAATTGTAACTTTCGTTAATTTTTAAAACAATTAAAAAAAAATAATTTTTTATATAATAAAGATGAGTTTTACAATCTTATATGAATTTGCGAAAATATGGATTATAATATATATATTGATTCGAATAAGTAAAGTATGTACGGTGCAATGTAATTTTTATGAATTATATCATAACGTTTGCTCATAAAATTATTTTTGCTTTCTCATTGAAACTACAAAAGACTTTGAACTTAGTTTTCTTTTCACCACTTAGTAAAGTTCCTGGGCCAATTCATTTCGCCTTTTCTAAAATGTTTTTAAGATATAAACAAATCAGTGGCGAAAGGTATATTTAGTTATAAAGGTTTACAGAGGTTCGATTCTTTAAGACTGTTAATTTTAATCTTTTAAACGTTTAATAGATGGAAATACATGCAACATTACTTGCAGCCAAAGTATGGAAAAATCGTTAGAATAGGTAAAATGATGATTTTTGTTATTAAGTTGGCGCAGTTATTTCATTTTTTTTTAAAGTAAAATTTTTTTTTTAAAAATTATTTTAAATAAAAATAGGACCCAAGAACATTATTGTGTCCGATAAAGAAGTGATCAAACAAGTAGGGATTGAATAAACATTTTTAACTTTCTTAGCATTTATCATCTAAAAATCTCTTTTAAACTAATAATCGATGTGTTTTGCAATCATTTAGATGTTGGTTACGGATGTAAGCTTTCCGAGTTATTTTTTTTTTTTTTAGCCAATTTACTTCCTATAATTGATTATCATTTTTAATTTGATTTTAGGAAATGCCAAAGAGCGAAAACTATGATACACTTAGAGTGGAAGATGCTCGAGTTTCATTATTCGTTACAAGGTTGGTAATTTAATGGAATGTCATTTAGAAATTTATTTTATCTAATTATTCTTTCGATTCGGATTATAGGGATGTATCGTTTCATAAAAAACGTGTAAGCTTCAAATTTCTTTTATGTAGTTTTTTTTTTTTTTAAAAAAAAAAATAACCTTTTTGATCATAAATTTAGAGACGAATTCTCACACCGGCATTCTCTTTAAAATACCTTGCATCGTTAGAACCACTGATGCAATCTTGTTTAAGAGATTTAACTACAAAACTTGACGAATCTATCGATAACGATAAAAAAATTCATGGCGCTATTGTTAATATTTATGAATTAATCAGGAATACAGCAATGGATATTATAGGAGAAACTGCTTTTGGAGAGTCATTTAGTATAGTAAAAAATGGGAATCATCCCTTACCTAGACTAACTTTTCGAGAATTGGTTAGAAGAGTTTTAGTAAGTATATAAGATAAAAAGACACCACCTTTTTTTTTTTTAAACAAAAAAAAAATTGTTAGCATTTTAACTTATAAAAATAAAAATTTATCCAGTGCAGCACATTTCCGGCTCTAAAGTTATTTTTAAAGATGGATCCTTTTATCGATGAAGTAAGTCGTCTTTTGTTTTTCATGTGTCTTGAATTTATTAACATCTATTTAACTTGAATTTCTTGTAAAGTTTTCAATTAAAATGATAAATAAAAGGAAAAATTCGGAAATAAAGAAGAATGATTTATTGCAAATTATGCTGGATTCAATTAATGATGTTAAAGGAGGAATGGAACAAATAGAAATTTGTGAACAGATGTTAGAATTCATGTATGTTGGTTAATTAAAGGTGATCTGTTATTTTTTTTTTTTTAAAAAAAAAGAATCCCTATTGAATTTAATGTTTCAAAAAGCTTTGCAGGAACTGATTCTGGGAGTTATATCATAACGATGACAATAATTGAATTATTACGTCATCCCGAATCAATGGAGAAATTAATAAAAGAATTGGATGCCGCTTTAATTAATAATAATGGAGAGTTTCCATTAAATGATGAAATAAAACATTTACCATATTTAACTGCTGTTATTAATGAAACTTTAAGATTATATCCTATTATGATGGGTAGGTGAACTTTAATTGTTATTATTCTTTCTCTTATTATGATCTTTACTAAATTTTTCCTTTCCTTTTTTCATAATAGATGTTGGTTAAGTAAAAAATAAAAATAAAAATTTATAAGTTTTCGTTATTAACACTTTTTCTTACTAACAAAATTAATATATTATAGGTGTTAGTAAACAACTTACAAAAGATTCGATTATGTGTGGATATTTTATTCCTAAAGGGGTTTGTAATTTGTCTATAACCTTCAGATGAGTAATTTTCATAAGAATATTTTAACTTAGTAGATTATACTTTAGACCTGTGTAAATTTGAATATTTATGCCATACATTATTCAAAAGAATATTGGGGAGAAAATGCCGAAAAATGGATTCCTGAGAGATGGTTAGATTTAGACAAATTACCGAAAAATGCTTTTTTTCCATTTTCTGCTGGTAAGTTGATATTAATATTTAAAATATTAAGAAAAAAATAAATCTAAATCATTTTTAACTTTATATTCTTTTTTAAATTAAATAGGATCAAGGAATTGTATTGGAATAAAGTAGGCTTTTTATTTAACTTTAAATAATCGATTTTATTTTTTTAACAATATTTGCTAAAAGTTTATCACTGTATATTATTTCATATAGTTTTGCATGGCTTGAAATAAGAATTATTATAGCAACTTTATTACAAAGATATAAATTGGAAGATATGTCAGATCAAAAATTAAATTTTGTTCAATTTATTACACCTTCTTTAAAGAACCAATGTTATAATATTAAAGTGAGCAAAAGAAAATTATATTAGTTATTAATTATCATATATAAAAAAAAAAATTTATTTGTTAAAACAAAATAATTCATAATTCAAATCATTTTAAATAAAGATTTTTAAATTACTTTATATTCTTATTTTTTAATCTACATTTTTTTTTATATTTTATATAAAAATTTACCAATCATATCAAAAAGTATTGAATTAAACATAATCTTGTGACATTTACTTAAAAAGCCAATTACGGAAGATAAAATAAAAAACACTATTATATAGTTTTTTTTTATTTGTTTGTTATTTCCTAACAATAACTTTAAAAAAATCTTTAATTTTTTTAAAAAAAAATCATGAAGCCAATAGAAAACACCTTAAATTTCAATTCTCCGCCTCACCTATAGAGCATCACTGATTTTACAACTTGCATCTTGATAATCATTATAAATGAGATACTTTTTTGCTTCAAAAAAAAAAAAAAAAGTTTTTACACTTTCATTCTTAACAATGAAGTTGTTTGTACAATCACCATTTTTTAGTTTTTTAATTTTCTATTTTATGCTTTATTATGTTTGCGTTTTAATCGTAGCAGAAGGTAAAATAGATACGCCGTCATTATGGGAAAAAGTCATGTCCAAATTACCAACTGATAAATTCCTTGAAGAAGATATACCCATTGATAGTTTAACAATAAAAGAATTAAACGATTGGACAAAAGGGATTGCACAGACATGTTTACGAGGAAATGCGTCGTTAGTATACAGTGTTGACGAACTATCACCTCCGGAATCAGCAAAAAGTCTCGCCAATCCCATGAGATATAAAAAGAAACCTTCACAAATCTCATTTCAAAATATGGAGGAACAACCACAATTCTTTACAACAGCAGATAAACAAATAGAAGTCGAGAAAATATTATTAATTTTAGATAACATTTATGATTCGGTTGATGAAGTTCCTTACTTTAGGACAGAAGAGGATTTTTCGCCTAATGTGCCACGTTATGCACCACTTCAAACCATTCTAAGTTCGTTTGCTATAAGATCTGTTCAAACAGTTGATAATTATATTTTACATTCGGTTTGTTCAACAACAAATACAAGTTTTCATAGGTACGCAGATAGATCTATATTTTATAATTCATTATCATCCGGATTATCATCAGCAGTTATCATACATGTTTCTAGAGGATTGAAAACCGACGTCTTGATAGATATCATTAGTACATTAGCGATTCAATTACATATGGTGAAATCAATTGCTTCATTAGCTGGATTAGATACAGCAGATGATGCAGTTCGGACATTGATTTATTTGTGTATCGTCTCGGATGGGGTTAAAAGCTCGATTGCAGAAACAGCCAAGGAATTAGCAATGATAATCATGCGTAAAATGGTAGTGGATCAAATTCCCGCATCTGCCTTAAGATCTATAAATAAACGCGTTGCAATGAAATTGCTTAGTAAAGAAGTTGGAGGTAAAGGATTAATTAATTTCGCTTCGTTAATTCCTTTTGTGGGTGAATTGGTTACATTTATCAGTGATTCTTTGACAACATATGGCATTGGACAAGTTTCTAAATATGTTTTTTGTCCTACGGATGACACAAGCGAAACAAAACATGATGATGATTCACCATCTTCCCCACCACCTCATCCTGGTAGAATTGAACTTTAAATATCTTTATTGCAAAAATTTTTGGCTTTTAAAAAAAAAAGGGTTTAAATTATAATTTGGAATTATTGGGTCTAGAACTCATACCGCCATCAACTGTAATAGTGGCACCATTAGTAAAAGCGCCAGCCTTACTAGATAAATAAATAGCGGTACCAGCAATATCTTCAGCTGCTCCAATTCTACCTAAAGGCACATTTGAAAAAAGTTTTTCTCCAAGATCTTTAAATGTTTTTTCCGTCATTTTTGATTGATAAGGTCCAGGTGCAATATTATTAAATGTAATTTGTCGATTTGATAATTGTCCTGCCATCACTTTTGTTAAATGATGTAAAGCTGCTTTGGAAGTTGAATACGCATATGTTTCTGAAAATGGTGTAGTCATACCATCAATTGATCCAATATTAATTACTCTTGCCGGATCTTTTGGTGATGCAGCTTTCTCAAGTAATGGTAAACACCTAAAATAGAAATATATTTATATTTTTAAACGAAATACTAAAACAAATACAAATATTAAATCAATATAAACAGCTTACGCTTGTGTTAAACTAAAAATTCTTTTAACGTTCAAATTCATAACTTTCTATTATTCACATAATAATAATAAAAATTAATAAACTATCAACTATTAGCTATTAGATATAGATTAGCTTTACTTGAAAGAGAGATATGACTTATAATAATCACCTCAAATGCTTCATCTGGATAAGAAGCAATAGGAGCACTCCAATTCCCGCCAGCATTATTAATTAAGACGTGTAGCTCTGATTTAAGTAAAACAAAATAAATATTTATTTTTAAAAAACTAAAATTTCTAATAATAATTAATCGAACTTACTTCCTTCCCGTTCTTTAATTTCATTTGCTAATCTTTTGACTTCATTTAAATGCTGTAAATCTGCTGGTATACTAACGGCCTTTCCTGGCCCTAATACAAATTTCAAAAGCATTAACACGTAAATTTTTTCAAAAATTGATTCAACCTTAATTAAATTTTTTACCTTTATCAGATAATTCTTTAGCAACCTTATCACAAGTCTCCTTACTTCTTGAGGAAATATAAACTTTTGCCCCATTAGCTATAAATCCTGTTGCTATCATAAGTCCGATTCTATTTAAAGAAAAATTAGAAATTTAACTGAAAAAAAAAAATAATAATTTGATAATTGATAAATTACCCTCTAGAACCTCCTGTAACCAATACAATTTTATCTTTAACATTAAACAATGAATTCAAATCCATTTTCAATAGTTAAAAACAATTATCGAGAAAACTACTACCACCAAATTTGTGGTTTGATGTTCACTCTTTAATATGATGATCACCATTAAATGGCACATCACCCGAAATAACTCTTTCATAGATTAAGATTTTTTTTAAAATTTAAAAATTGAAAAATTAATATATATTGACAATTATTAATTTTAATATTTTAAAATACTACTATTAGATATGACAATTCTAATATATTTTATTTTATTTATAATATTTTATAAATAATTTTTATACTTATCATTAAGGGATAAGATTGTAAAAAATAAATAAATATTACTTAATACTAAAATAATATTTTATATATAATATTTTATGTTAAAATTCAGATCAAGTTTTTAATTATAGTAAAATTTTAAATTAAAAAATTTTGCAATCATATAATTATGTTTTATATTATATATTAATAATTTTATATTATATTTCTAATAAAATAATTAATCATTATCTTTAATAAGATTTAAAATATATAATTTTAAATTTTTTTAATATATAATTTTTGTATTAATTTTATGTAAAAAAAGTAGGTTACAATTTTTAAGTAAAAAAATTAATTAATTTAATTTATTGGTTTTTAAAATATTAAATTTTTTTAAAAAAAAATCAAACTAAACATTTTTAATATATTTTTAATATATTAATAAAAAGGATAAATTTTATTATAATAATTGTTGTATATAATAACTTATTAGAAAAGTCAATAAAATATTATAATATAAAGGATTTAATAATTTACCGCCATAGCGAAATACCGCACCCTATCACGTGATTTGATAGTAAATTTTGATTGGTCGAATTTTTATATCGTTAAACGCTTAATCTTTCACGCTTTACGCATTATGGTTTTAGCTTTTTTAACTTTACGAATAGTGGTTCAATATATTAGTTTTTTTCTTGAGAACATTTTTTTTAAAAAAAAAATTTAAACTAAACATCAATTAGAACTTTATATTGCAAACTGCCTCTTACTGTAAAAGTCCAGAGACCTGTTCCTGGGTTGAATAGATTGAAAAATGGAAGGCGGAGGGTGGCGAGTATCAATTTTTTTAAAAAAAACTTTGAAATCAAAGAAGAGTAAAGA